CAACAAATGAAAGAAAAGTTTTATTTAATGCAAATTTTTTCCGACCATGTGATTGACTCTCTATTGATAAGGGTTAAGCTTTTCTTAGCACACAGGAGAGAATAAGCAAAACGACGATAATGCGTCTACTATCCAAATGCATTATCTTGTTAGACAGTCATGCATCATTAATTCATCTTCGAGCATGTGTGTACGTAAGCAAAATTTTTTTGCACGATGTATATATAAGCATTATAACGCTTTCTTCTTATTCATATAACACCGTTGATACCTTATCATCATATTGCTATCGTAATTACACAAGATTTTGTATCAATACAACTAGCAAAGGTACGTTTTTATAAAAGTGGAAGCGCTTCACAACATCTCTATAGTCATGGATATCGCATACAATCGGGTATTTGATTTCAGTTCAAGTTTAGAACAAAAAGAAACGCTCGCTTTCCAATTGAAATAGGGATCTAGGAGGTATTTGGGATGATTCATATGTATATATATTTATATACCTCCCCCCCTTTTTTTCTCGAGATGGGGGAAATAGGGAGTCTAAGGGTCTTCAGAATTATGCATATGAATATATAAATATATACCCCTCTTTTTATGACTGCGGGTATGTACATATATAACTATATGAATAATTCTAAAGACCCCGTAAACCCCATCATAAAAAATGGGAGTATATAGCTTCATATAACAGTAGAGAATTTTAAAGATTTATGAGATGGTACGCCTTAAAAATAGAACGATGAAGAATCTGCATGTTATTAAGTGTTAATCGCTTGGTCGAAACTTTGTATTACATGAGTTAGAATATGGTTGATCTATGATTAGAGGGATGTGTAATATTTTTTATTGATACAAAGATCCTCTCTCCGCTTTTTCTGTTCAGAAAGAGACTTATTTTCTTAGACTCTCTAAACGCTAGGGTTCGGAAAAAAATCGAGCGTCATTTTTTTTCAAAATTTCGTTTGAGATCAAAAGCCCCCACAGACTTAAGTATCGAGAGGACCTTCCTGTCCACAAGAGAACCACTAATCTTGTATTGTTATTTTCAAATCACGTGATTGTTTTTTTTCCTGTAGTGAAAACACATAGAAATTCTCTACGAAACGAGCAGGAAAGATTAACTATCGTGAAGCCACTTTCCTCACAAAGGATTTCTAGATTGGATTATCGACCCATGCTCTGCGTAACACCGTAGAACTACGGCTGTTCAGTATTGTCTACGTTTAGTATATGAAAGGATTTCACTCTGCTGAAAATGAAATACAACATTAAGTGGAAAATAAGTGTTCCATAATTTTCGTTCAAGGGCTTCTCTTTAAGCGCACATTTCCCAAGTTACTGCTTAGCATTACGGATTCAGAATGAATAATTGTAATATTCAATATCTAGTCTTTGCATGTTTGCTGACGCCGAGACTATTGTTGGGCATCTTTCAAGAACACAAGCTGAAAACGTAGAGATGACAGATACTCAGAAGTGTAAATATTGGTCAACTAACTAATCTCTAAGGATCCGATATTCAAGTTTCGTCGGCGCACACAAACTGCAAGTACAGTTCGAATCTGAAGTAATGCTAAGGCCAGGATTCCCACTGAGACAGAGATCGGCAGTAGGATTGGTGTTGGGACACGAAATGATAACGGGATCGAGTCAGGCCCGGGACGACACGCAGATCGAGAGCGTCAATGAAGTCGGCCTCCTTACTGATCCCGAGACTGAGACGGAAAATGAAAGCCTGATACGAACAGACAGTGCATTGGAAAATGGGACTTAAACCTGGATCCCAACTGATAACAGCGTGCGAACTCTGACAGAATCTTTGTCTGGAAGCCAGAGCGGCTTTGCGATCGCGACTAAAACCTTGATTGAAAGTGATCCGCCATAAGAACTATGACTGGAATCGTGAGTCGAACTGATAGGCAGATCAAGATGACGACTGAATCGGCGTCCCAAACTGAGGCGGCATGGAGACTGGACTTGAAACCTAGATTTCAAATGCTACCAGCGTAAGAGTTTTTACTGAAATCGTCGCTCGAACTGATGCCGATATTGGACCGGCGAATGAAACCTTCACTGGAATTGACAGTGACATGGAGAGCGAGAGTGTAATGTGAAACTTAACTGATATTAGCATGAGACAGTGATCGAAAGCATATCCCGAAGGGAGAACAGCTTGGAGACCGCGACTCAAACCTGAATTTCAACTGATATCGTGGTGGGAGTTATAACTTACACTGCGACTCGAATTGAGAGTGGCATGGGAATCGGACCGGAAAAGTAGATCTTAACGGACATAAGCATGGAGCCTGTGATAGGAACTTATACCCAAATCATGACGATGACTAAAATCGTGAGCTAAACTGACAAATAGAGCAAGGGACTATATAGTTTGATTCGTGCAGCTTATTCATGATGTCTCATCACTATCAAGTGATCCATATAAAATTGTTATGCAAATATCTTGTCAATATCTCTTTAGGTTTTCATTGTTTAGGACATGTACTTCTTTGAAAGGATATCCATTCACTTCCTTTCAAAAAAATATAAAAGTTTCTGTTGAATTAGAATTATGAATAATTGAACAAAAAAATAACATTCACAAACTTCAATATGTATAGCTAACTTTCTTATAGAAGAACGTGTTTCTTTGTTTTGTTTGTTATAGCGTATTACAAGGTACTAAAAGAATATAGAAACTATTTTGCAGAATTGAACGATTATATCGTTTAGCCTCAATCTAATTCATTTCGCATTACAAAATTTATTGCAGAATAAAAATTGCCTGTGGTTTCGGATTTTGTGAAAATCGCCTTTTCAGAACGACAGTTTGTATACAGTCAAGAAAATTTTCATGCATTGGTCAACAATAAATCGTTTGGGCTAATTTTCGCTTCAACATATTACAGGAAAAGTTGACACATTAGGTACATTCTTTTTAACATAATGAATGAAATGTAAAATTCAACAAATTGTGCTTAATTTTCGATGCACTCAAAGAAATTCCTTCTTGAGCCAAAACAAAACTTCATCGAAACTGACTTAACAGTTCGCCACAAAAAAAGAGCAGTTTCTGATTTATGCAAATAACATGTGCCAGCATTTCTTCAATATGTAAAACTGCAGAATGCAGTGAGAATTTTTTGAGAAAACTGTTTAAAAATTTTAGCATATTGTAGTTTTAAAACAATTTTATTTTGATTTTTGTACTTTCTGCCTAACATAAATTGTTTTAATGTATTCTTGGGCAAAATGGAAGAACAAATTCTTTAAAAAATTGTACTAATCTTAGTGAGCAAAAGATGGAAAGGATACTGAGGAAGTAGTGTTACTATCTTTTAACTTTGACTATCCAACACATATGCATCGTCTAACCAAATTGTAAGAGAGCAGTAAAGAAAATATAGTTCAGTGAATCATTCTAATGTTCATAGTAGTTTAGGCCTCAATAGAGTTCCACTAGGAAATGACCTAGTGCTAAAAACCAAAGCTTCAATACCATGCATATCAACATTTTCAAAAATCAAAACTCTTTTTTTTCGAATCAATGCAATATCTAGTCCATCATTTGAATCATATATTTTAGAAATCAAACTCACAACTTTGATTGCAAAGTTTCTTATAATAGTTAATCGTTAACACCAAAATAATGTTAAGACAACCATTAAATAACGATGATATTGATCCAAATGGGCGACTGTAAGTTTGTCGACGTTTCGTTCACTAACACCACCATTAACATGCTAATTAGCTACTAATCACAAGGAAAGATTTTCAAGTGCGAATACACTTCTCAACTAAGATGATCGAGAGAGGACAGATCCAAGGATCTGACCTACTTGAGTTTTCAGAATAGGAATAATTAAATGGAATTAAATTGACAAAAAAATTGAAATATGCTTTTCCAAAAGAATCCATAGAAAATGTATCGCATTTTAATGCATCGTACAGTGTGTCGTGAATCACCACAAATGCGACACGTTTTTACTTAGTGTGTTGATCTATTCCAAAGCTTTTTCAACAAGATTGGATGTTGTGTTTTCGGTCTGAAATTTTCAACATGAGCAGGTCTCATCATTACCAGAATTGCCTATAAGTTTTAGTTGGAATGAATGCTTCTTCAAAATATTCATTTTTCAAACAGGATAAGTGCTTCCAATTTTCGATAAAACATGAATATTTTGGAGAACTTAATCTCTCAGCATGAAAACATAAATTTAACCTGTATCTTTTGCGACATTCTACTAACCATGAAATCTGTGTATTTGGAAGTTTTCAGATTAAAAACACTTGACTTGCTTTTTTCAAAATGCGTTAGAACAGCTCAAAAAACGAGTGAAACAGGGTTCATAGCTCAGCATCAAAAATTCATACATTGCATTCAAGTTACGGATTGACTCTACTTGCTAGAAACGATCAAATAATCAGTCACAGTCAAAAAACTATTTTCTACTAGATGACCTTACCTCATCAGATAAACTTCAATGCTCCTTTCGCTTTCTATTATTGAGAAATGAATTGTGTACCTTTTCTGTGTTTTTATTTCAGAAACTGGTTTACTGGATCCATTCCATGTATGTTTAGCGTATTCATTTGCATACTTTTGTCGGCGTGTGCTGTTGCAGTCATACTTTCATTGATACCTGTATATCTTAAAAATGCTGGTGACAACATAGTCAATGACTACAGTACAGGTTTGTCAACTCTCTTCTTCAGCTAAATAGTAGATCGTGCTCTCTGTGAAGTCATTATTATAAAAAAATTAGAAATAGTATGAGAGAACAGGTGTAATGAGAAGTTCAATTTTCTACCAAGAAATATTGCATCGTAATTCTGATCAGAGAAGTGCGCCATGAATCTTTCATGAAAAAGATTGCATTCAAGTCAGTTTAAAGTATTAAGTTTGCTTAAAGAAAATTTAGATTTCTCCAAAACTATTTTCTTATTTGTCGTTCAGCAATAGTTAATTGCTATAAAAAAAAAGTTATCCCTCATCCAAGTTACAATAATAATTGTCTTTTAATTGTGCTTCACAGAGACAAAATTTTTTATATAAGAAATTGAACACTATTCACCATTTGAATATTCCAGGTTTCTATCAAGTTCTTACAGCGATCAAGCCGAATCTATCCTATATGATCAGTCTATGTCTTCAGTTTCTGTACTAAAAAGGATAATACTCACTATCCACAATCTCTTGTGTCTTCCGACGGGTATCTAGACAGTTCTTAAGAAGTGAAAGGCCATGTTCTATAAGATGTCAGAGTCAATAATTTCCTCTTTATTCTGGGCATCTCTTTCAAGCAAGATTTGACGAATAGAATCCTGTTTGATAACCATATTGATTTTTTCCGCAATCCTAATAACGATTCACCTAACTTTGAGCAGTAGTTAGTTATCCAGAAGTGAGTTTTTCTTTCCAATATATTCAACATCATTTTGTATGGATTATTTCAGTGAGAAACGTACCAAAATACATATTACTGAATCCAAACTGTTTCAAATTTACAGAATATACTAGAAATCGAAGTCCTGTTTATTTTCAGACCAAAATATCACCTACTTGAAAGGAAATCGAAAAAGATTAAGATATTTTTGAAATTTTTTCATGAAAACATAGAAAAGATTAGCCTGTATTTAGTATGTGTACTATTCGTCAAGTTTCTTGAGGTCGAATAAAGATCTCAATCATATTTTCTTAGAGTACAAAAATCGTAATATTATTTCATGTATGATTGATAAGTATTTTGAACTCTATAGATAGAATCTGTTGTGTCGTAGTTGAAATAATATAGATAATTGGAACACCAAAACTAACTCTTATAATATAAACCAGCATTTGAGTCATTGAATGTGTTCGCATAGTGTATCTTGTATAGAAAAGTTTGCTTTTTCATGTAATCTATCTACATCATCATTGTTGCTCAATTGCTACTAGATATTTGCTTTTTTCTGGATCTTCGAATAGAAATTGAGTAAGAAGCGGTATCAGTGTTGACGTCGACTGTAAGTGTAGTTAATGTTTTCAAATGCATAGAATGAATACTTTAAAGTTTACTAAATTCTAGCAAGAAAGTATCATCTTGTAGAAATAATCTTTAGCATATGTGCTATCTAGAATAAAAATGATAGAGAGAGGATGTCATAAGTATTCTTCTCTTATGCAATGTGAGTTGACATTCACAAATCAATGTCTTTTGTATATCAATTATCTTTGAATAACTTTTTCATATAATGATCTAGTTTTTTGAAAAAATGCTATGAGAAACGATTGTCTATTTTCATCATTCTTTTTTTATATTGTAGAAACTGGTGACATAACACAAACATTCGTTTCAAACTTGATACTAATCAATGGTCAGAGTACGACAATCACCAACTTTGATCAGATAGCTCAACAAGTAATCATATCTCTATTATTTATCATGTATGCCTTAACTAACTAAATTGAAAGAAATTCTAGATAGAAGTTGCCTATGGTTTTCCAGCAGGCTCAGTAAGAATCACTAATATTGTAATCACTGATATTAGCACAAATGCTGATAGTGGTCGCCGTCGTCGTGATGAATTTTACAGAGAAAAACGTCAACTGTACGTTCATATTTTGCATGATTTTTTCTAATGTATTCTTTCTCAACATTTGTGTAACTCTATTTCAGACCTACTTGTGATCAGTTCGGATCTGTTCGCTCATTTGTGCAAATCACAATGCGTATAACATACCCGAAAAAGTGTGGCATATCACTATCATGCAAAAATAAATTTGTCAATAGTATCTCAGCTCTTTTTAATACACATGCTTCAAATTTTCCAGTGACATTTGTATTTGCTGACGGACGCTCCATTCAACTCGAGTTATTCGCTTGCAAGGCAACTGGTACTTTTCAATCGTTTGGTATTTCAAGTGCCACAACTGGAACTATAACGACAACAAGAGGTAAAACATTTTCTATTTCATAGATTTTGATATGCGTTGGCACATATATTTTCGCTTTTCAATTTTGAGAACTCAGTTTAGGAGCAAAAGTTTAGAACATTGAATGCTCAACAATTTTGTTCTGGGATAATACTCGTAGATAAAAATTGATCAATGAGTAAAATTTAATATTTAAAGAATATTGAATGCCTTAACTATTGTGAAGTTCATAAGTCAAGAAATCAGATTATGCATATGTTGCAGCGTAGTAGAAACGTCTTGATAGTAAATCATGTATCATTCAAATATTATTTATGAGATACTATGAGTTGTTTTCGTACATATCTCTTATTTAATTGAAGTCAAATAGACATAAAAATTTTTAGTGAATACAACTCGTTATTCATAAATTGATTAACCTTTTTGGTGAGAATTTTTCACTGATTGTATGACACAAGGGTTCGAGTGAAATTGACCGAGAAAACTGCATTAATCAAGTGTTGCAAAGTTCCTGATCTGTTCATCAGAGTTACAACCAGTACCATTATAAACAATGAGACCGAATAGGATTGATCGATATATCGGCATGAGTCATTCTTCTTGTACTTGATCTTATAACAACCAAGTTAACGACATGATTGGTCACATTAACATCATAATCACTATAGTAATGATACAGCAATTGTTTGGTTTTGTCATTGATTATGACTAGGATGTTAAGGATCGAAAAATCTCTTAGTGTCATGCGAAACGCCTTTCAAGTAGTCGGTCGAGAGTTTTCGATGTAATGCAACATTGAGCATCCTATTTGTAAATTTTCTTCGCATCTTTATGCAATACGAAGCACCAAATTGATGTGTTCGATTATTTCATGCAAACTATAATAGAGAAATCCATGTCTCGACATAGTATAAATGTTTTACAATTATTCGTATAGGTTTTTGTCAATCTCCAATAAATTCCGTGAACAGTGATTTGAATGTTTGCAACTTTTATTTTTCTGGAGATGATGAAAATTGACAAATCGGTGAATAGTCAGCAGCGATTAGTATGATAAAAAGTGATTGTTTCCAAAAATTCGAAGTTGCTTCATCCATGTGCCATCAAGTTTAATCCTTTCGGAGTTTGCATTGATTTACACATATTATGTTGCAATGATCTTGAGATTGATTGAAAGCATGCTTTATTCCTATTCCAACGCAAATAAAAGCATCTATGCCACAAAATACCAGCTGTAGCCTAGGAAAGAACTTGAATTACTTGAAAGAGCCTTTCAACTAAACGAATATCAATCGAAAATTCAGCACACATACATGCCGCATTTCACACATTGAATGAAGCTCATATGTCATTTTGTTCTGCTGCTATATTTTCACATTGAAGTTTTGTATATTCTTTTAGCTCCTGTCTGTTCGCTTCAATGGATTGCAATAGGAACGACTGTAGCAGGTGTTACGAATAATTCTAGTACTGATACCTCCCGACTCAACACTCCTCGTGATGTATTTTTGGATACAGTCAATACACTCGTTGTCGCTGATACAACAAATAACAGAATCCAAAGATGGACGATAGGCGCTATCCAGGGTGCAACAGTCGCTGGTCAAGCAGATGGAGGCGTAGGCACAGATGCAACTCAGCTCAGTGGACCTGAAGGTGTTGTTGTCGATCCAAACGGAAATATCTATGTGGCAGATACTGTTAATAATCGAGTTCAACTCTGGCCATTTGGAGCAACTCAAGGCACGACAATTACCGGACTAGGTAAGGTAGCTTGAGGTTCAAATGATGAGTTCAACGACTTCAGTTGAAAAGATCGCGGCATTTTTTGTGATCAATTGTGCATAACATAAAACTCATTGATTTATCACGAAAAGCAGGAAAAAACAAAGAAACTGGAGAGTAATTTCGATCAATAACCGGTTTTTGTACAATATTTTAGACAGGGATAGTATACATTTAAGTAAGTTTTTAGTAGTTTTGAATTCCTTCGACATCTATTAAAACAAGCACTGGTCTTCTATATCGTTTCGATCAAATGCTGACTTAGAGAAAGAATAATGAAGTCATTATGTTATAAGCCACTTACCTATGATTTCATGTAATGATTAAAGTAGTCGAACTGTTTTCTTAACTTCAAGCTAATTCATTATCGATTAGCAGGCGTCAATGATACGAGAAGAAGCCTTAAAATACTTATGTCTATGGACAGATGGAACTGAGTTGTCAGCAATTTACGAGATTTTCGATTTCTTGAACGGCATTTACATGATCATAGAATAAAGTATTTTCAATCTCAAATTTGACTCTCACATTTAGTCCAAATGACTATTAAAGTATACTCTAAGAGTTGTATTCGATGATAAGCCTTCTTCTCTAGGTGCTAACCTTCTAGAGTATTGCTCAAAAGTATCCGCTACATTGGAGCTCAAGCTTCTTAAGATTCTATTAGTCGAACCTTTGCAAGAATGGCTTTCTTAGTGCATTCTTATTAGTGACACAAACTGTACTCTAAACACTTGCTATATCATGAGATCTGAAACTCGATGTCATTCACACCCAAGGTTCTGATCTTTTGTAGAAGTTACAAAACTTTCGACTGTTTTACCCAATGACGTATAGCTAATTGATAGAGCTTTAAACATACAGAATACGAGTCAATTTTATCGAGTTCTAACACATTGGCAACCATTTTACTGGTGGCCTCACTTTTCCAGAAATCTTGTAATATCAACAATCTGGATAGCATAGCTTTTCATGAGTACAATATTATGCGACAAACGTTTTACCAGATATCCCACAGGACCTAGTCTACTTTGAAGATGAGAGTCTTTTCTTCAGTCTCACCCTCAACTCCAATATATATAATTCAAAAGCTTTAGCTACGCGTGCACAACTATGTAAATATTATGCTCTAGAGAAGTCTTCAGTTGCTACATAATACGTGCTAATTAAATGACATATTGAATATATGTAATTGAAGAGTAATACAAATCATCATCCAAGATAAATTGAGTCCAGTTTGCATAAACCCAAAGAAAGTACTACACTGGTAAAAGTATTGAAAAAATTTTATCAAAGTAATTTTTTTGACGTGGTCAAACATTACCAAATTTCATTTGTTCGTCTTTGATGAACCATATCTCCATGACTACAAAAGCAAAGACCTTGAAATTATTAATGTAAGTAGGCCTCAGTTAGATCTATCATCGATACAACTTTCATTTATTTTGGTCCAGCCATAACTGACTTATTCTCAAAATAATGAACATTACGAAATTTCAAAAAACGAAAATTGCATAATGGTTAGTATTTCGAGCATAACTCATTTATGGTTGAACCAAAATAAACGAAAGGTGTATCGATGATAGATCTAACTGAGGCCTACTTACATTGAAAATTTCAGAATCCTTGCTTCTGTCTTCACGGAGATATAACTCATCAACGACGAATAAATGAAATTCCGCAACGTTCGATCGCGTCGAAAAAATTACTTTGACAAAATTTTTTCAGTACTTTTACCAATGTAGTACTTTCTTTGAGTTTATGCAAACTGGACCCAATTTATTTTGGATGATGATTTGTGTTACTCCTCAGATACATATATTCAATATCTGTCCAACGTCAAATGTGACCAAGATACAAAAAACAACTAAAACAGGAGTCGAAACTTATGAAACGCCCTTTATATACAAATTGTAAGTTTTATTGTTGCTCAGTTTTCTTGTACATTTCTATTGTGTTTCTTGAAAAGTATGTCGCATCTTAAACTATTTTCATAGTTGTTCAAGTCACTAGATCAGAGTGTAGCCATATTCAACGTGAAAAAATACGATAAGGATAATTTTTGGATTTTCAACGATAACACGTGAATTCCGATGTTCAATTGAATAGTCGTTTTTCTACTCAAACTGTTTAATTACATTTCAAACCGTTGCTACTTTCTATAAAGAATCATTCAATAAAGAATGGATTTCCAGGTCTGCGAGCATAAGATACGAAAACTGTTGCATTTTGAGGATGATTAATGTTCAGAATTGAATTTTATAAATTATCATTAAAAACTTCGCTATATCCGACAGCAAAATATAGATGAAGGATAATTTTTTCTCAAATCATTCAAATTCAAATCTAACTTTTACTGATCAAAGTTTTCAAAAACTCTTTGTGACAGCTGCTGCTATCGATAATGTTATCTGTGCATTCTTCTATGTGGAACATATGTTCATAGTTCTAAAACAAATGTTCACTTTTGTTTCGAAACTAGAGATTTTCATGCTTACAAAAGAACTTATTGCTATGCGATAGCTTGGAAAGATACATTGCTTGAATAAGTTTTCATTGAATTAAATGACAAATTGTAGCCGTTCTAATTTTTGAAAGTCAGCTATGCCTGAATATGTATCTATAAAGTTTTCGATTACCATTTGTGTAAAATGTAAACCTTTGCAAAAAACTACCCCTTAAAATTGATCTCATACACTAGAGAATAGTTTTTCAGTTCCAGAGTAAGAATATTCGATTGTTCGCAGTACTCGTTAGATCGAAAGAATATTTTACAAATAATTGCGACATCGGAAAGCAATAATTGCTCAGTAAGCTTTTACGATTATTCATAGCAACTCAGTCTATGATCGAGCTATGCTCGAGTTTTGTCCAATGTTTGAAAAATCCTGAATACGCCACTAGTCTCTCCTTAAATGAAATCATATTTTGTGAAAGAAGTTATTCGAAAAGTTTCTTCAAATATTGTTACGTTTCAATGAAATATGTGTGTATTTTCAGCATTAAATACTCCGGCTGGTATTGCATATGATGCTAACTTGAACAGACTTTTTGTCGCTGATACTGGCAATAATCAAGTGATCCAATACACACTCTCAAATCCAGTGGTTTCTGCTGTGGTTGCTGGCACTAATGCAGCTGTTCCCCCTAATCCATTGAACGCACCAACTGGTATCTTTTACGATGCATCATCAAATAGTCTTATAATCGCAAACCGTGATGCTAATAATATCATCCAATGGTTTTTAGCAACCAATACATTCTTAGTTCTTGCTGGTGATCCGGCTGGAACGGCTGGTACTGCCTTGAACAGACTAAGTGCTCCCCGAGGTGTAGCACTCGATTCAAATAGAAATATAATTGTAGCCGATACAGGAAATCATCGCATAATACTGTTTGCATTTGGTCCACCAACGGATGGTACCAAGACCGGTAGAATCATTGCAGGAACTGGAGCCGCTGGCAATGGTAACAACCAACTGAATAATCCCTCTGCCATTGACATCGACGATCAAGGTAATTTATACGTGGCTGACACAAACAATAATCGCATACAATTGTTCACGTGCATCCAAATTTAAGCTTAATCGATCTCGATAAAACTTTGAACATGTTTCCTTCTTTTATTTTTACTCATGCATTCATACTTTAGAAATCACTTGCTTTTAGTTTTCATATCTATTCGCATAGAAGCTGTGACTGATTTGGAGCGTCGTTTTTTTTCGCAAATTATCTTTATACTAATTTTTTTTTTCTTTTCTTAACAAAACATATATATTTTAGGGTGTGGGTGAATTAATCAAAAACAGATCGACTTAGCTCTAGAAGAAAAGACAAGTTCAATCTACTATTCTCAACTTTTGCTTTTCAACCATCGATTAAGTTGAAAATTAAATAACAATAGAATCATAAATTGATTTGCCTTGATTAGAAGTATTAAAGAAATGCAAAGTTCAATTCGCCAATGCATTTTGTATTATTTTATTGAAATATAAACGCTCATTAGGGCTGTGCGTTACGATTTGAAGCACAAAATACAGAAAAGAACAAAATTGAAGAAAAAATATAGAAAAAAGAGAGCACAAACACAACGAATCGACTTGAAATTTAATTACCATGAGTTTTGTATCAAGTACTCTAGTTTGTTTTCAAAATGTCGGTGTTGTACGTGACATTTTTAACAAAAACCTAAGTAACTATTTTTGTTTGCGTTTCTCAAATTCAAACAGATATTAATTCTAAACATTCTATTATTAATCAGTTATGTTTGTTGAATTTTCTTCGTTGAATCAAAATAGAGATATTTTGATTTAATTATTTTTCTTATAGTAAGAATACGTTCTTTGAATTGTTTACATGAAACTCTCGTATCGGTTATCATTTACCTGAGCATCGATATGTTAACTGACATGGATCTATTTCATAGTACGAGCTTGTCAGAGGCCATTGATTTGATTAGTAACTTATTTTTGAAGGTATGAACTGCTGGATTAAAAGTAATATCACTTATTTGTCCCTGAAGGTGTGATACGATTTGTCAGTCTGAGTAAATAGATTTATTTCACCAGTTTCTATTGGAAATCATTTTAAACCCAATTGATAACTTGATCGGTCGATCATTGTTGTCGACATTAATAGGGAATCAATTGAAGTATCAGACATGTATACTACGCTAAACCATAAGGTACGTACACCACTTCGAAATATTGGTAAATACTCTATCATGCCATTTGTTATATGTAACACATCAATGTATGACATATCATATAAGACACGCGTGTCATATCAACAAGACATTCATTGAACCAAGTGCAGACGACGAGGTGTATAACAGCTTAGTATTTAATGTGAACTTGAAAAGAAAAAAAACTCAACTAAGTTGTATTATAGTCAAATTAAAAATTGTGTTTCTCAAGAGAATCTTGTCAAGTGATAAATTACTTTTGACATGAGTCTTATCTCATTTGAAAGTTCATATTCAGACTAGTAAGAGTCTAAAAAGGATTCATGTTTATGAGTCTTTCTTCTTCATTTATGATTAATTTAATAGGCTTTCTAACAAAATGTCGAAGAACGACTTATATACATGAATATTTTAAAACTTTGTCTAGCCTCAATAGGATTTATCTAATGAAGTAAGAGTTATCTCAAAAAAACGTGATTTATCATTTACCAAGATTTCCTCATCAGTCATAGTTTGAACAACTGTAGAAAATTACGGTTTCTAACAATTGTTTAAAACACCGAATATTATTCGATTGAATCAAATTTTTTCAGTATTGTGTTAATTTTCTAATTCTCCATGAGAAATAGATTGTTCTTTAATAGAAAACATTATCGATTATATGTATATATATATATAATCAAAGTAGATGGTGAAACATTTTACCATGTAAGAGTTCAGATGGAAGTTTTTTGGTTAAGAACTTAACTCTTTAAAGATAAAACATATTAAATAATTGTTCGACAATTAATTTCATTTTAATATTCATAATGGATAAATCTGATATACCTATTGCTTAGAGAAATAAGGCAAAATATTTACTATAGAATAATTTGAAAAATTCAGTAAACAAGAAAAATATCATTAATTTCATTTAACATTCGTTTTTTAATAATTTTGTGTTTTCTTATCCTATTAAATGAAATCAAAAAGTTGATAAATATTTTCATCAGTACAATAACAAAAAAAGAGAAATGTCTTTTATAAATATTTCGATTTTGTTTCTTCCAGATATTATACAAAATCTGAAATAAATAAAAACAAAAAAGAATTTGCTAGCATTTGCTTTTGTATTTTATTTAATACTTTCGTGATAAAGTTTAGTATAAAAGATGGATGTTGTTGAGTTTACAAATGACTTACTTTTTTTTTTTTATTTTGATTTAATATACGATTAAGTTTATTTGTTTTTGAATATTTGAAAATACTTAAACAAGATTTAAAAAATATTTTGACTCAATATAAAAAATATAGTTTAAAGTTGAAGATTTTATTAATATATAAACTTATTTTTATCTTTAGATTAAAAAAAATTACTTTTGAAATAAAATCTTTTTAGATAAACAAAAAATCAAAGAAAAATAAATTAAAATTTTTTTCAGTTTTGAAACTCTTAAACTCAACCTCTAGAATATCTATTTAGAATGTGAACATGAATAAGAGATGAGTTTCTAAAGAATCCAATTAAAGAAAATTCATTTTATATTTTTAGATGATTGAATACATTCTTCGATATAAAAGAGAAAAATAGAATATAAATAGGAATACTAAAGACATCCGATTGCATCTGGCTCGACCAAGCAAAATTATTTGAATAAAATCTTTATATTCTTCTTTCTAAAATCGTAAATAATTGAATAATCTCATACTGATATTTCACATAAATATATTCATTCAAAAAAAAAAAGTTAGCTCATTTATATATTATATTGAGCAATTACAAGCAATTATATTTTAGTTTAAACAAAGCTGATCTATGAATGTAATTTCTTATCAATATTAAAAGAGAAAAAAAAAAGATCATCTACTTTTCAAAGAAAAAACAAAAGAAGGAAAAATTAAATGTCTTTTTTTCTTTTGTGTGCATTATATGTTGTAAAAAATACTTTGTAAATAAATTTTTTATGTTTTTCATTTTTTTTCTTTTTGATGCATAAACACTATCCAACGGACATTTAATAAATAATGAGAAACTATCAGATGAAATACAAAATTGAAATTAAATTCTTTCATTTTGTTTTTTCAAAATTCTATTCAATATGATATTTGATATATCTGGCAATCGTTTAATAAACTACTTAATTGAAAATAAACAATAGATAGCTGTACAACAAACATGAAAAGAAATCAATTATTCAAAAAAAACAAACAAACAAGAAGAAGAAAAAAAAAAGAAAACAAATTTTTATACTTCAAATTCATCAGTCCATTCAACACTATTTCCAAGTAATTTATTCACTTTATTCCATTCACGTTCACGTTCATATTGTGGATCAAGATTAAAACGTACTTTTGGTTTTAATGTTTGTTGTTGTTCATCAATATTATCGGATATTTTATTATTTGTTATTTTCATAATTGAAGTTGGCTGAGTATTACGATTTACAACTGTTGGTGTTGTAACAAGAGCTGAAAGTACATCATCATCTTGTATGATATATACATCACGATCATTTGTTGTCCAAAAATTATTCGTTTTATTTTGTTGTTCTCTTTGTGATAATTCAAATTCTTGTACAAGATCAATTTCACCATTATCAGCACTTTCATCACCTTCGGATGCATCATTTGTTGAACTATCTTGTGTATCATCTTCTTCAGATATTGTTTGAGAATGTTGATTCAATGATGATAATATTGTATCACAAAGAAAATCTGAAGGTATTGGTATTTGTGATGATAATGAAAATTTTTCTAATAATGATTCATTATTTGATTGATGAGAAGCTAAAGAACAAGAAGAAAAAAAAA